TTTAAGCTCTTTTCGCGTAATTTATTTTACACTTTAAAGAAATTGCAAAAATTTGCAGGTTTTAGGAGAAAATCGACAGTATGTAGCTTGACCGAGCTTTCTTTAAATATAGATAGTATTATGTAATAAAATGTTCACATAGCGAAAGTGTAGAACGTATTATGAAAAAGCTTTTGATTTGTTCCGATTCATATCGAGTTTACGCAAAATTGCGAGTAAAAAGATCATATATTTACGTAATGACGTCGTAAAATTTGTAAATTATCAGATGATCTGATAATTGTATCTATATGTAACTGATGAACTTATTTTAATTAAAATATCGCAAGTTTCAATTCGAAACATACAGAGTATTGGCCAGGAATATCCAAAAATCTCGCACTGTGCGGCGTTAAAGTAACAGCACGAAAGTTTCTGGGAAAAGTGCCGGCGCGACGCGTAAGAGTAAGTTTTGAATTATACATTCGCCCACGTCAACACCATGAAGCCGAGGTCCCGGACCTACGTCACGATAATTACGGGTGGTCGAATCCTTCGGACCGTAGGCCGCCGCGATGAAACAGGTTGGAGCGATTTCATTCAATTTGTCGAGGGTCGGAGCACGCTCCTCCCTTCCCGTAGAGATCCCTCGTAGATCTCGGCGAGATTCCCGATAATCTCCTACGGATGCTACGGCGAGCAGGGAAAGGATCGTCGCGGCACTTAAACATTCGCGCATAAATCAAGACGCGCTTCCTGGCTGCACCAGGAGCGGCTCACGGAGCGGTCGTCTCTTAGCCACGCCTGGACTTTCCTCCAAGCCTTCTCCCCTTTTCCGGCCCGAGTGCAACCCTTCAAACCCCTGAGAGCGCGATTTTCACGCACGAGAAACGGTAACGAAACATAATTTAGGGGAGACCAGGGCTAGATGCCCTACATTTTAGAGTTTCGAAGTTGGAACTGCTCAGGCGACTAATTGCTATGACTGATTGTATAAGCACGATAGAGGCAAGCTTCTATGTATTAATGCTCGCTATGATCTTGTTAACGTATATTTTATTCAAAAAATAGGCAAAAGGGCAATTAGAGTTCAAGCACAGGACTAATAGTGCTATATACCATATGGGTAAAAACCTACCTTGTGTTAGGAAATCGTGTAATATTTATTGAACATAAATAATCAATATAAAACAATCATACGTTTCGGCTCAACCATGAACCCTCTTCAGTGATAATAAAACTCAAGGTATACGACACGAACGCATTACAATTAGTAAAAAACCTGCGCAAATTGACATGAATGTTAGTCGCAATATTAAAGCCGACAAGACCGTTACCGAAATAATATTAAATAATAAATTAATATTGAGAAGTAGCCGTCATAATTATAAAAAACATATAATATATAAAACAATATAAATATATAAAAATATATAAATAAAATAAAAATAAGTAAAATTGAAATATAATAAGTAATTAAAACTGACAATATAAAATACCTTTGTTGAGTTCAGCTAAAAGTAAACCGATCCTGTCAACGATAACATCGCCACGTCTTCGAAATACAAATAATTACAAATTTATATGCCTAGCATTAACAATGCGGAAACGACTTGTGGAAGAGAAAGAAATCAAAACAAAGTTTATTTTCAAAACAAGCCGCAGTAGCTGGTGCCCAAATATTCAGTATCCTTTTGTGAGTTAAGACCTTGCTTCTGAAATTTGATGAAAATCATTTCTGAGATCAGGCGTTTTAAGTAAAAGCGTTCCTCATGTAAAACTTTGACATGATCCCAATCAAAATCATAGTTCTTCCTCAAACAATGTTCCTGTATGGCCGTTAACTCCACCGTAGAACTCTTAGGAGTTCTCCTATGCTCACCAATACGTGTAGAGAGTCTTCTACTAGTTTGACCAACGTAAGAAGCATCACAGCCACTGCATTGCAACCTATATACAACGTTATTATGGAAACCAAGAGGCAACCTGTCTTTATGCACACGAATTAATCCTGATAATTTATTAGTGCAAGAATAAGCAATATCTGTCAAATTATTTCTAAAAAGCTTTGTCAGTCTTTTCGAAATTGAATCACAAAATGGTAAGGTAAAATATTTTTTATCAGAAGCTGTCAAATTTGTTTCTACTGTCTCTGTACCTCGTCCACCATTCACAATAAGAAACCTCAGTCTACGTTTAATAACTTTAAAAATTAAGTCAAGAGGATAATTATTAGTAATTAACGTCAAAATGATAAAATCCAAATTTTTCTTATGGAAAGAAGGATGATTAAGATAAAACATCCTATCAACCAAGCCAATGTTAATGCTAGGCATATAAATCTGTAATTATTTGTATTTCGAAGACGTGGCGATGTTATCGTTGACAGGATCGGTTTATTTTTAGCCGAACTCAACAAAGATATTTTATATTGTCAGTTTTAATTATTTATTATATTTCAATTTTACTTATTTTTATTTTATTTTATATGTTTTTTATAGTTATGACTTCCCAATATTAATTTATTACTTAATATTATTTTGGTAACGGTCTTGTCGGCTTTAATATTGTGATTAACATTCATGTCAATTTGCGCAGGTCTTTTACTAATTGTAATGCGTTCGTGTCGTACACCTTGAGTTTTATTATCACTGAAGAGGTTGAGCCGAAACGTATGATTGTTTTATATTGATTATTCATGTTCAATAAATATTACACGATTTCCTAACACAAAGAAGGTTTTTACCCATATGGTATATAGCACTATTAGTCCTGTACTTGAAGTCGAATTGTCCTTTTGCCTATTTTTTGATTGATATCTTCGTTTGTGAGTTATTTCTTTCTTTAAGTATATTTTATTGTGTAATAATCAAAATACGAACGTGCAACAATGGTTATCCAACAATGGTAACCACGTGCAACACGTGGTTATCTTATCCTGGTATTGGATTTAATTGCCCAATAACGCGGGATAAGAAGGCCATGTATAAAATATGTATTCTGATTAGTAGTTCCAGAGTCTCTCTCCTTCCCCGCGAAAGATCTCCACTGCCCTTTTGCCAACTTTCAATTATAAGTTTAATTATAGGTCAATTTTACTTCGTTTGCTCATATGCTCTATTTCAATCATTTTATGAATGAAAACTGTGTTTATTACCAGAAACAGTACATACATTTGCAAGAAATTTCATTCTAATTAGTAACATATCACCTAATTTTATTCAGTTCACGATAAAGAATATTAATAAAAAATTTCGAGAGACTCGAAAATTTTCTTCGCTATTTTCTTTGCAAATCAGTTTATTCTATTTCTTAACTGTAATATTATTCCGATTTTAATGAAACTCAAAGAAAAATATTCATGTTCTAAAAGACTATTTTGCGATTTTTTGTATGTACTCAAGATAAATGTACAAGATAAATACTATGAAGTAGCACATGAGCAACATATTTCTAGGCCCCGGCCTATAGCCCCGGTCTTTCCTAAAAAAAAATCCCGGGAGAAAGGGAAGATCGTAAATACAAATTCGACATAAGACCCTTGGAGGACAGAAGGGTTACGACGTGTCGAAATTTACGGACGGACGCGACTGATAGAAACACGATTTCTCAGACTTGAAATGGCGCCTAATTGAAACTATTTCGATACTTTCACCATTAAAAAGCTCGTTTGTCGTGCGTCGCGGCAATGCGGGTCAAAGAAAAAGCGGAAGAAAAAAAGACGGCAAAAGCGCGTTAGAAAAGAAAATAGAGAAAGAGCAACGGGCAGGTCGCCACGGTTCGCTTTTCTGGAAGGCTCGGTTCACTCTCGTAAACATTACCACTGCCATAAATCGTCAAGCATAAGCCCGTAAAACGGGGTGAACCATAAACCGGAAGCACGAGGCTCGTACCGGGGGAATAATATCGTGACGTCGTTACGCGTTTGTCATCGCACGTGTGTAAACCCTGCGTACGTAGTATTTACACTCGCATTACGATGGAGTGTTCGTTTAACTCGACATGATATCTCTCTCTTACTCGCTTAAATCAACGCTTGTCTTTCGTCGCATCTCACATGTCACATTAAATTTCGAGGTTCAATCTGAGAGACGATGAATCGTGCGTGTAAAGTGAAAATTATTCTCTCTAATAGAATTAGAATAAAATTGATTTTGCCCTGGCAAAGAAATGTATATACAGTATAGACAAAATTATTGTCTAATACTCATGCATTCTTATTAATTGTAGAAATATTGCATCTGATAATATTATACAGTAATACACAACAACACAATAATACATATATAAATAAATATCTAGTAGAAAGATATTTACTCACACAGTGGTCAGCAGGGGAAGAAAACTCGAAATCAGGATTGTAAAAGTCCGCCGTATTCGACGCCGGTATTTCTATTTTCCGCGAGCCGGAAATACGTCATCTCGAATCAATTCTGAGAGCGAGAGTCACGGCTGGTTAAGGTATGACGCGCGGAAGGTAAGCCGCTTAGCAGACATGTCCTGTTTTAACCCCACGAGATCATGCGAGTTGACGCTGCAACGAAATATTACGTGTGGGTGGCATTCCCCACGTTCGCATTCCCCGATTTCACGCACGCCAAAAACGCCGCGTCCCGTTTTCCGATTCGCACAAATGACTTACGGTTCTCCCCGAGCCGGTGAAGGCAACCTGCATCCGCAGGTCCCATTCTGTTCTCAAGAACCACCGCGTAAATGCGATTTCACGGGCGATTATCACGCCGCAACGCTGCACGCCGCCGGCTTGTTTCACCCTCCGATGCGCGGGCACTACTTTCGTTTGAACCGACTTCCAATCGCCCGAGTCTCAAACGTAAACATTTTCAATCCGTCGGTCGTTGAGATCCGGGAAAAACTTGTTATTCGCGGCCTGCCGCGACAACACCAGATTTGTGAGCGAACAATGAAGGTAAACACGTCCGCGATGTTTATGTTCTCGCGCTTATCAGCGGCGCTACTTCGCGCCCGCGCGCCCCCGACGGCGAAGGCGCGGCGCGGCGCGCGGCGTAAGCGGCCGAGCGTGTCAGATCTTGCGCGGCTCGCCCCCCGCGACGCACGGTTCGCGCAGTTTCGCGCGTTATCGCGACGTGGATCTTCCACCCGGGAAAAATCCACGCTACTGTAGCCATCCGCGCGTGACACGGTTTCAGCGGGATACAGCTGCTGCGAGGAAGCGCGGAAGACTGTCGGGGAAACTGTTGGGTAGCTGCTCGACTTGTTGACGACCGTCCACGGTGCTCGTCGCATTTCGGAGGTCAAGGTGAGGTCATTTCTTGTGTCGTGACGCGTACGGTATATCGCGAGCGTGACGATGTACGCATGAAATCTAAGGGGATTGGGATGATGAATAAAACATTGTCGAGTAGAGAGAGAGAGAGATCGTGAGAGTAGATTGTCACCCGCGAGGCTCGATCGAGTCGGCGTCGGTAGTTTTCGATCATGAGACGACAAAACGGGAAAGATGGCCGATTTCGTTGAGGCGCGACAAAAATATGTCGCCACCTGTTGCTTCTATCAGAGCGTCTCACGTGTCATATGATGAACGCGCTCCGGAATCCTCGACGAAAATTCGATCGAAGCTCGAATATTGTACGTATATCTGCCGTGGGTATTTAGACATATGTATTTAAATAATGTGTATCAAGCATATTTATACACACACATAACTCACTACACGCACGTACACACCAGCATCATTTCTTACTATAACAAGGGTTGGTTATACGATTTTCGACCTTATGCATACGTATATAAGGTCGAAAATCGCATAAAAATTTTACTCTTATTCTAGTTATACGATTTTCGACTTTATTCATACGTACATAAGGTCAAAAATCGTATATAAGTAATTAAATAATGTAATACAAATAGTATTTATTATTATTATTATATGTGTAAAACTGAAAATCACACACACATACGACTGAATAATCCTAGTTATAATAATAAATATACATGACTCCGAGTGTATTTAGAAGTGCGTGCGTGTGGATGTATAAATTGTTACAATTATCACATCGAGGCAGGGGCAAGCAACGTCTCGAGGGATTCGCTGATCCCTCTGGACGATCGAGTTGTCTCGACGAGGAGCGGTTCGAACGGATTCACTCGCTTTGCGCGACAACGATCTCGATATCCTTTTTCGCGAGGCGATGGTGCGGACGCGAGGGATTCGCTGCGTCCCGTGTTTGGCCGACGACGCTGCCACAGGCCATGTCGGGCGGGCCTCTCGTTGTCACTCGCGATCGCCGTGCAACGATAGAGGAAAGTCAATCTCGTGATGCGCATAACGATACGCTCCGGGAATACGTACGTGCGACGCTTCCACGAGCAGCGAACAGCGCGAACGGTGTCGCCTCCGCGCGAGCTTTCAGAATATTTTACGCACTGCGCTCCAAACGCAATTAAGGGGAATTCAAATGAGTAGTTCCGTTGAATAGTTCCGCGGCTTGAATAGAATATGAGTAAATAGTTAGGACATCGCGCATTTAATATCAGTTAAAGTATACATGATGTTAATTATGTAATAAAATATATTTACTAAAATTTAAATTATAAACAGTGAGAAAGAGAGAGAGAGAGAAAGAGGGAAGGAGGAAGAATAAAGTGTTCAGATATTTGTTAAGTGATATAGATATTTGGAGAAACAATCTTGAAATAAATAATACTTTTGTTACAAATTGAAATACAATTGAGAGAGATCTAAATGTGTAACTCTGTTAAATAACTCTACAGTGTGAACAGAATATATACAGAGTAAATAATTTACATTTCAGATGTTTGTTATTAATTGTTTTATCTTTATTAAAATATATATAATATTAATTATGTAATTAAACTTAGTAAAATTCAAATTAGATACTGAAAATCAATATTTATCTGTCTCTTTTTTAGTATTTTATTTTGATCTTCAGTACCTAATCTGAATTTTACTAAATTTAATGATATATATATATATATATATATATATATTATATAAATATATTAATAAAGATAAAATAATTAATAACAAACGTTTGAAATGTAAATTATTTACTCATATTCTGTTCACATTGTAGAATTATTTAACAAAGTTACTCATTTAGATTTCTCGAAACGTGTTTCCGCTCGAAACATAAAAATTTAAGAGTGAATCCAAATGAGTAGTTTCGTTAAATAGTTTATGCAGAATATAAATTAATATTGAAAATATAGATTTCATATTAATTGTTTAGCATTAGTTAAATTATATGTAATATTAATTATATAATTGAATATATTTTGTAAAATCTCGAGACTAGAGATACCAAAGATAGAGATTAGATTCTAAGATATAAAATGATTTCAAAGATAGAAAAAATTTCGTTGCTCGACAAGCATGTATTACGACAATCTAACTATATAAACAACTACAGCAATAATTCCATAAAACGTTACATCAGTTTGACGACTGGAGTGTCGTTTTTGCCCATGTTGTGATCGACCATTGTTTACGTTTCTTCTGAAGATCGTTTTGCCATGTTTGTTTACCGCGACGCGCAAATCTCCGTGGTAGTTTTGCGCAAAAAATTGAAGCACTTAACATAGCGGAGAGCGTGTGTCGCACACGTCGAAAGTAAACACGATCAATTACACGACGCGGGACGTCGGTCGGATCGGTCAATATAACACGAGTGTTGAAATAACGAGCGTTATTTTCAACAGGTGCGTCTTGATGCGGCTACGGGGCCTTTCTTCTTCGTCGGCTCGTCCGGATGAGGATACTCCCGACGGCCGTTGATGACTTCATGAGATGAGGCGCAAGGTAAGAAACTAAAAGAATCTCCCAGTCACAACGCTGTGAATAATAAGAGGTACGAGGGACGTGCGACGCTTTCGGAAGAGAGACGAGGGATCAGTAGAATGGGGAAGTACGTGGGGGGATACGGTACCGGAATATTTATTTATTAGAATCGACGCGACAAAGGGATACGCGCGCGATTGCTTCGACACGACCGCGATCCTGAGGCTTCACAATTCGGAGCGCGATGGAGATGATAAATTGACGGGAAAAGGAGAACGCGTCCTTATTGATTTTCTCGCCCACGTTTGAGCGACACTCGAAGATTAATCGTTGTGCCTTTATCACGTTCTCGTATCTTCATCGCATCTTTATCCGTAACTTGCTCCGTGACGTCGTATTCGTTCCATAGTACTTATTTGAGGATGCTTTGATAACGGGATGACGGTACTTATCGCGTTTGTAGAAGCCAAGGAACGATAAGGTGATTGCGTTTCAAGTTCAAGAAAATATACGCGATATCTCGGGTACAAAATATCAGGTATGTTAAGTCGTGATTCTCTCTATAGCAGATGAAGGTCTCACTGGTCCAGCTAGCTAATGCTGATTCAACAAAAGCGTTTCGAAAGTGTTGCATTTAAATTATTGTTTCATGATAACCAATTTTTCTACACGGAGAAAATATTATAGTTTCTTTTCACATAAATCTTCTCTCTTTTCTATTATGTTCTTAATAGTCCAGAAATAGAGTCTCAATAAGGTACTTTCTAAAGCATAATCAGTATATTTTTCACTGAAATGAATATTAAATTGGTGATTAAGTTAGAAGTATAGTATTGCAATCTGTAAAATTACGTTGAAATAATTAGTTAACAGCAGCGACTGTTCTCATTATTGATGCACTTTGCGAACACAAACATCGCACGTAAAACTCATCGAAGCCGTTAATTTCACCGTCGCAAAAAACACAGAAAAGCTGGATTTGGTACAGTCGGATAAACCAATTATAAGTATAGCATTTCAGTGAAGAATTAATGAATAAATAGTGAAAAATATAATGGACTTATATAGTATAATATAGATTTTGCCGTAAAATCTTGCTTGGTTAAAATCAGCGAGATGTTGGATGGAACATTAAAGTGTAAGTTTTCACTGAAAGTCAGTGAATACTCACTGATCATCAATGAAGTAGTCCTTTTACTGATCCAATTAGAAAAATTTTTACTGATTTATTTTAAGAGAATTGGTCTTGCTAAGGAACATAGCAAATTTCATTAAAAATATAGCAAATTTTTTAATAGCATCCCTCATAGTATAAGATCTTGAAGGGATATCTTGGAGACATGTATGGACATTTAAAAGTCATCGGAATATTTTTAGGATATTCTGAGGACTTACGCGGACATTTAGCAATCTGGATGTCTTTGGGACATCTTTTAAATCTTGTGCTGTGGGATATTTCAGTCGGATACGAATAGCTAAATAACGAAATACGAATAGATATAAAATGAGAGGATAGTCAATTTAGGTTACGACAGAATGTCAACCTATTCCTCTCCATACAAAATTCCATAGTAATTTGTCACCATAATGTTCTCTCCGTGTAGCCACTTTTCATCGATAATTCCCTCGTGCCTCGTGTCAGTAAGAATGTTAAAAGTTAGAAAGAGATTTTTGACACAATATTTGCGTGGCTGAAATGCGTCGAGCGAGTCGTCGCTTTTGCAGCTTAAAGTTGTATTTGAGGTACCGTTCATCATAGCGTTTGAGTGTTTGACTTTTACATACACACTGTAAAGCAAATGTTTGGTCATTTAGCCGAAGAATAATGAACACTCTTAAAAGGAGTGTTCCATTACGTTCAGAGACTCACCGAGTGCGTGAAAGAGACGATCCTCAGGCCGCGGAAACGGCCTCTTTTTCTTTCTTTTTTTTGCAATCGTCGCCGTGACACCGGATCGCTCGTGTCTCGAAATTCATTTTACGTGGCCCGAGGCGCCACGGGTTTCGCTTCAAGGAAGAAGTGTCTTTGTGACCTCGGGTCCTCGAGACCCTTTGCCCTTCCTCCCCTTCCCTCCACTCGGAACATCTGCTGGTCGGGCGCTAGGAAGACTTTTTTAATCGCGGAGGCTTTGGCGGAACAGAGCGCGCCTTATGTGCCCGTAAGTGACTAGAAAAAAGATGTATAAATCACGCCGTTGTCGCGGTGCATTCGTGTCTGACTTAATTACCGCTGGTAGTGACGGTAAATAAAAATTGATTTCGGCTGTCGCAAGCCTAGACGGGAACGTGCTACCGGACTCGTTTGACTACTTCAAAATTTCCTGTTTTTTTGATCGTGGTTATTGTAATCTTTATTTTTACTCGCATCAGAAATTTATGATTAGATCGTGATTGAATTAATTAGCCAAGGTCCGCGCTAAAGTACTTTTTGTGAGATTTTAACGAGAAGCACCGTTTGTCAGAATCCAGATAGTAAACATACGTTTTAAAGACATCCAAGAGACGTCCAAAGCAAGGATGTTTTTTAGATGTCTCTAAGACGCCTTTCAGATATCTATGCTGTCTGGACATTTTAATTTCTCCAACAATTTTTAGTTGAATCATAATTAAACGTTAAATCACTATCGTATACTAAGTGTACACTTAGGGTCGATTTTTCTACAGTAATTTAAACATGTAACAACATAGCCAACTTACCCTGGCACTAGGTTTAGTTGCCCAATAGCGCAGGATAAGAAGGCCACGTATAAAATATGTATCCTGATTAGTAGTCTTGACTCAAAGTCTTCGCGATAGAGAATATTAATAGAAAATTTCGAGAGGCTCAAAAATTTACTTTGTTATTACCAAATCAGGTTTCCTATTTCTTAACTTAAGGTAAAAGTACCAATGTCTGGACACGTACAAAGTATGTACCTAATTCTGGACGTTCTTGTTGTTTTAATCTTACATATATCAACTTTAAATACGAATTTTTAATCTTTAAACAAAATATTTGTATATATATTCAATATCTATATATTCTAACATATATTGAAAATTAGAATATTTCAATATTTTAACTTAAATACTTGTTTTAATCTTACATATATCAACTTTAAATACGAATTTTTAATCTTTAAACAAAATATTTGTATATATATTCAATATCTATATATTCTAAATTATTCATATATTGAAAATTAGAATATTTCAATATTTTAACTTAAATACTTGTTTTAATCTTACATATATCAATTTTAAATACGAATTTTTAATCTTCAAACAAAATATTTGTATATATATTCAATATCTATATATTCTATATTGAAAGTTAGAATATTTCAATATTTTAAAACTGAAACAACATGCCCAGAATTAGCTACATGCTAAGTACGTGTCCAATACGTTGGTACTTTTGCTTAAATATTATTTCGATCTTAACGAAACTCAGGGAAAAGTATTCGTGTTCTAAAAGGATCATTTCGCGATTTTATGCCCACTATTCCTCTCAAGATAAATGTTAGAAAAAAACACACGAGGAACATATAGCCATATAGCCCCGGTCTCCCCTATATACGGTCTCTACTCGCACGAGACGGCACGAGCCGTCTCGAAGTTTGTCCGAGAGCACGACTGGTCGACGCGTCCTGCGAGCACGTGCTAGTGGCGCAATATAGCGGGTCGCGACGCTGCGGAACGCGTAATACGCTGCTTATACTACTTACGAGTCGCCGTGGTCTCGTTCACGTTCTCGTCCGTTCTCCTCGCTCGAGTCTTGCGACCCGCTTCACTCACCCGCTTTTGTCGTCGTCGTTCTGCGAGTCCCGAATGGTACGGCGAGAGCCCGTGGCCCGACCGTCCGTTTTGGTCGGTCAGCTTTTCTCGATTCGGTTCCGCCGCGCGCACTCCGCACTGTCGCTAAATACGCCGACCGATCTCCGTAATGGATGGTTTCCTGAGCAGACGACGACGCGACGGTGGACATGCCAGCGAGACGAGGCGGACGTATAAAACCCGAGGTGGAGGGACGGAGATCGAGAGTGCGGGAAAGAGATGTGCCAAGAGAGAAAGGGAGCGAGCAAGAGAGAGAGAGAGAAGTCGTCTCTTGACCCCAGGGTCTCGAGGAAGGCACGAGAGAGCACCGTCGCGCGCACGAAAGAACACAGGCTACGCGGTATTCGCTCGTCGTAGGCGCGTTTTTTCATCGGGACGAGGACGCATGTGATAAACCGCGCGCGCGTCTAGTCCTCGCAGGATCCGAACGGTCAAAGATCGCGCGCCTACACTTGGACGGGCACTTGCGGCGTCGTTGTGAGATGAAATCCTGCGAGCTACGGTAAAACGTCCAGTAGCCGGCACTCTTTCGTCTGTTCCCAGAACTCCCACGCGGATTTGATCAAATATCAAGATGTTAAGGCGATGTTTCAACATTTTTATTTATTAAATAATTTTAATAGATAAAAATTATAATAAGAAAAAATGTCCCAACTTATCTGTCTTTCCCGGATTTTATCAATTTTAAGGTGTATGGAGTTATATGCACGGAAAAAAAGGTTTGATTGAATTAACCAAATATTTGGTCGAATATAAATATGAAATTCCGATTAAAGTAACCCGAATTCTGTTTAAGTTAACAAGATTTTTGGTTAAACAAAATTCGAGTTACTTCAATCGGAATTTCTGGATCGTTCATATTCGACCAGATATTCGGTTAATTCAACCAAACCTTTTTTTCCGTATGGGTTAATTAAATCTACGCAAGATTTCATCAAATATTAAGATGTTAAAGAGAGCCGAAAATAAGCAGAGAGAGTGCCGGCTATACTTTATAACACTTTGTAAATCGGTGTGGTCATGTTTGGCGAGAGGTGAAGAGTGGATCCGCATGCAAGAAAGTGTCTCACCTTTGTCGTCCGCTCGCGAGCCGTTCGGCCGATTGCCTCGCTTTGCGCACGTAAGATCGTCCCCGGTCGACTGGTTTTATATCGACGGCGATGTTCTCGCGAAAGGCGCGAAGTCGGTCCTTACGCGCGCCGCAC